AACATTTTTTGAAATAGGTGTATATTGGTTGCATATCACATTTTTATGTGAATGGTCGTAAAATATAAAAATATACATTTGCATTTGATTTGTACATTTTAATTTCTAATTATTTCATAAAATGTTGATGAGAGTTGATTTCCATCGCAAGATTCTAGGACTCTCAAGTACAACAAAAGGGTTTTCAAGTCGAGACGTTGCTGGCTGTACTTATAGTCTCAAGGGATTTATTAAAAATGCTTACCTTGCATTTTGAACCATTTGCCTCAGATATGTAGACATACATCCTAACACTGTTAGTTAAAATATATCAATTTATTAAATTTATGATAACGAATTGACTACTTGTTGTTAGTAACAGATTCAACACAGATTTTGCATAGAAATGAATCTGCAGCAACCAGTCAGGTCAATGCAACAACTGAGTACAAAAGACAGATCAGTGTAAAATGGAGGCGCCACACTTTTCTGCAAAGGTTGAATTTTGGCATAAATGAAAGATTTTGTGCAGTAAAATTGGAAAGGAATTAAGGCTTTTTTTGTTGTTCTTGTCTTACAACATGTAAAAGTGTGCAACTCCGATTTCTCCCTCATTAAAGTGACTATATTCTCTGCAAACAAGGCCTAGGATGCTTAGTTTAGGAGTTAGTAGTCGTAGAATTTAATAGACAACACAACCAAACCATCGTTGGTATCCTGGTTATTAAATGCTATTTTTTTAAAGAGTGAACTATGTAAGTTGTACAAATATGTAGGATTGCTGGTAAAAGGGTTAAGTAGCAAACTACACATACATACATACCATGTAATCCTGATCTAGTGATAACATGGCTACCTGAAAAAAAAAACGCATGAATAAAAATAAAAATTTACACTTGCAGTCAATCCCATTAATGTTGTTGCAAAGACTTGAAGATGACAACAAAGTCATTTGAATAAAACATTTTGTGGTTTACTCCAGTCCTAAGGACAAAGCATCCACTGTGTTATCGTATGGTACGAGTAGCAAGTATTCTGTAAAACTTGATCACACAACACTTACCCATAAATTAAAGCAAAAACAAGGCCAAAAAAACCAGCAAAATTCAGTGTCTCTTACTATAGTTTTGAGCCAAAACAAGCAGCATTGTGTCGGTCGGAATAATAAGTTTTTGGTATTAAAAAAAAGCAAAATGTTCCTATTCCCTCATAGCTGCTTCTTCAGGTTGAACAGCAGGGTCAATTTCATGACTGACACCAGCATCAACTGTTATCAATGTTTCCAACATTAACTAAGAAAGCATCCTGATTGAACATTTCACAAAACTCATTGGGCATGAATCACCAGATCACTCAATGTATCTCAAAGTACCTTGAGAACTCAGACCACAATATGACCGATTTGTACATTTCACAACATACATAAATCCTAACTAAAAATTTGCATACTACGCCCAAGAGGCAATTAATTGATATCTTTTGCCTTAATGCCCTAGTTTGCTCCAACATCACGGAACTGTGAGAAATATAAAACTTTGTACCATATTATGTACTTTTATAATAATATCATTACAGTCAATACCAAGTGTGAAATTCTCCATCAATGACAAGACCATGTCAATGGCAGGCCTTGGATCCCATTCTGTCAAGCCAATGTTCTTTTGTACCTCATCAAGCTTGTCCAAGACCACTGAAGCAAGATTATCTAATGACACATCGTAACGTGAGCCAGGAAGATTGTCAAACAAACTGCAATTTAAAGAATATAATAAAGTTGACACGTTGTATATGGCTTTTGGTGTAGCACTCTTTCAAAATTTTAAGTTGCACTTTTACGTATCGATACATGCATCCCCTGCTGCTTTATAAACCATCTGAAGTACATGGAATATAGGTCTATCATTATAATAAAGGTAATGTTTTGGCTAAATTTCCTTGTCTTTCAAAAATATCATATTGACAACCTACATTACATACTGTGGTAATTCAAAATTTACTAAAATTGACTTCAAGTGASTGCAGTACCTTGATAAAGCTCTCCTGGCTGGATTTTTGTAGTCAAAAACAACAAATACATGTGCAAGAAYATGGATGCATGTTGAGAATGATGTGTCATCTAATTCACTTATGACAGGACTGACCTGATAGAAAAATACACAAGCAAGTAAGCTCCTTCGGCACAAAAGGCTAAAAAAAACAGAATAGCTTCCATAGATATTTTTCCATAGAAACAGCAAACACCATGTTGAGAGGACATTTTGAAATCTTTTAACCTCAAAAATGCCCTATTTTTCAAGTCCCATAGTCAAAGAATTAACCAAATCCAATATGGTCACCTTTTTCAATATAGATGCCTGTTTCAGACTGTTTTCAGCAAGCACACATTCYAGCAGCAGACTGACTGTTGTACTTGTCTCTTGCTGCAATGCTGTATTRTGACAAAAATATGAATTATTAATACTTGTTGATTCTTCTGTGCAAAATTGATTTATTTTAACCGAGCTTTCGGCCTAAGCAGCCATTTTTCAAGGTTGTAGTACACGTGATGATCTAATCTAGTACGCAGCTAACTGAAAGTGCTTGAGTAAACTGTACAATGTGTAGTTCCAGAAAATATCCATACCCCCACCACGGAGGATTTCGGAAATTCCGAGGGGGTGGGGGGTTAAAGTAGCTTGGAAATTCCGAGGGGATGGGGGGTTAATGTGCAATCGATCTACCAAAACATCGATATGCGTAGATATGCGTTATTGCCGTGTTCCTGACTCGCTGGTCGCTCTTTAAATAAGTTATGACGTGAATTTAAATGAAGATTGTGCTTCAAACAGACAGCTTCTACACAAAATGGGTTTTCTTTCGATTGAAGAAAGAAAATACAAGTGACAACTCAGTAGTAGAATGACTACCGCGCTAAAATTCACGTACACGTTTTTACAAGTCTGCGAAACTATTAAAACTCAATATACATGTACTTGTATTTAAAAAGAAAGAAAGGTTGATGATAGAAAAAGGCAAAAGAATCCTTCTTTATTGAATAAGTGTATAAATAAGATTCTAGTTTCATTTGTTAGTCAAAGCACGTGGCGTGGTTGTTTACACTCAAGTGACGGTTCGTAATAATCGGCAAAGATTTTAATATGACCACAAAGAAGCTTGAGCTTTAGGTAAAACACGAAAATCGAACATTTAAGATTTACTATGCTAAAAAAATACATATTTTGGAGGAAAAGATCGATTTCTAGATCGTAATAGAAGTGCAAATTTTTGCAGTAAAGAAACTACTTGCTCACGTTCCGGTAGAATTCGCAAAGTTCATGGATTTACATGCAATATCAAATCAATGTGGTGCTAGACTTCGTTGTTCCCTCTCCGCGGCTTTTGTTTGCTATTTGTCCTCTGTTCTTCTGATACTCAAAAACATTTGATTTTAAATTGCCAAGTGTATAAATGCGTATCTTGTATTGACGGAAATTCCGAGGGGGGTGGGGGTAATACCTGCCTTTTTATCGGAAATTCCGGAGGGTTGGGGGGTTGGCGAAGAGTTGTAAAAAATCGGTCAAAAATCGGAAATTCCGGGGGGGGCGGGGAGTCATAAATGAAATATCCTCCGTGGTGGGGGTATGGATATTTTGTGGAACTACACAATACGTGCACACTCTGTTTACAAATAAAAGATAGTGACTCAAAATATTATTAAGGCAAATGTAACAAATTGGAAGTTAAATGCTTTTATCATATAATTATCTATGAAATGCCTATATTTCTCCATGACGTAAAGTTGATATTTTCACTAG